ATTCAAAGCTTTCTTGAAATATAAAAGAGCAAAGATACAAATAATTTGTTTCTAAAGTGGTTATTATATATTCTCATAACTTTAAAATGCCTGCCTGCAAGCATGGCTCCAGCTTTCTGCTTCTGGAAGCCAAGCAAGTCCATAGCACGCTCTAGCAACCTGAAACTACAAGAGCAAAAGACACAAGTTTCTTATGGAAACAGTGACCAAGTTAACTGTCATCATGCAAGAAGTACAACTTTAATCACGTTTTATAGGTACAAGATCCATTCAGTAAAAAATCCAAGGAGCAACACGTAAAATGGCAAAAGATCAAGAAAGGATAGCCAAGAAACACAAATCTGATCCCAGGATACCTGTGCTACAATTGTACAGTTCAATGCCTGGTGAGTGCAGTTAATGCATAAAAAGACCCACCTCGGGCTGGCTGATCTTGATTTTCCTTTATTCACAGTCCAAATAGATGAAGCAAACTTAAAGGAATGGGAACAACAAGCTGGTAGACCCATAGGTCTGCTATGACATGCTGCCTATTAAATATAGAACACCAAAGATCTACTGCTGACAATTCAATCACTGATGACAACATCTGAGAAAAATGCCACTTGTGCATTAGGGAGAATGCTCTAACACACACTGTAAAAACAGCTCTCACCACATAGCCTCGATGGAAAACAAGCACAGAATTTGCCCCTGATACACTACCAGGGCTGTATTACCCCCTGGTTCCCTCTATGGAACTCGTTTTTTCTCTTTTGTTCAGATTTGCCCTTTCCAATGAGCAGCAGATGGCTCTCTAGCCTGAGGAGCAGTTACAGTGGGGAGGTCTGCAGAACCCTTCCTAAAGAAGAGCAAAGCAACACCAAGTGCCCAGAGCTACATACACACCTTCACTTGACTGCATATAGTGCAACTTCAGAATTACTATCCTTGATAATGTCAGTCCATGCTGCTGCCAAAGCACCACTATTTTTTTGCAAAATTCTGAGCTATCCAGGTCACAGTAACCCACAAACCCTTAATGCTGCATTTCAGATTACTGTGTTTTTATTACTAAGTCATGAAGCATTTTTTTGCACTATGGTAGCAACAGTTCAGAGAAAGTTAAGACAACTAATTAGGTAATAAAGGCAAATTTTCATCATGTGTGGCAAATACTTGCCTTCTAAATAATACAAAAGCATAAACATGTTAATTTTCAAATTTTCAATTGCAAAAATCAGTGAAAATTAGCTCAATTTGGGGTGAAAAAAACCCAACAGTAATTTGCACAATCCCTTAAGAATACTTAATCCTGAGTTAGATTTCCCATACATGCATTTTCTTCAGTACAAAAGCCACTACAGCTACAGAATTTTACCTGAGTGTGACCAGTGAAGCACTGGGAAGTTTGCCACTGGCTTTTTAATCAATACCACACCACCCAATAGTTCATACAATCCACACAGCCTTAATCTATTCGAAGCTTCCAAGCAAATCTGTTAAGTATAGAGAAAGGAATTAAACTTTTGTCAGAAAACTTAATCTCTGAAAGGGCGAAAAAGTATCTTTAAACAGTTTTGTAGGTAAATAAGAAACCAATTTTACAGATATTTCATACACATCTCATGTTTTGGTTTCTCAATCAGCACCCTTGGTTGTAGCTTAGTTTTTCAATAATAACACAGCTAACTAGTTGGAAAGTGTTACCTGTCTGGATTAGGAACTGACATCCTTGTTGTGGCTGCACTGAATGCAGATGTCTGTATGCATGTGCAACGTGTGGGGAGTCAGCAGAGCATGGTCAAGGCAGAGGTTTCATTATCTGCAGTGCATGTTGAGAAACACATTCATTTCATGTGTTCGCTTTTACAGGTGAAAATATAACGGGGAGAAACCACTCCTGATCCCAGACCACTCACACAGGAATAAACACACAGATGTAGGATGCTGGTGTTAGAATAAGCACAGGGAATGAATTCTCTCCCTCAGAACAAAAAAATCAACTCTATGGACAGCTCACTCCTCTCTCTCTGAATCAGAGCTGCTGTATCACTCATACTCCAGCCCTAGGGAATAAAGCAAGAGCTTTAGTCAGGAATCAGTGAAGACTGTCAAAGTAAACAAGATACCAAATTTTTCACTGGTCCATGAAATAAAATAGTGCTATAAAAATGTATATATAGACAAGAGGCTCAGCAATCTAAGAACACTCTTTGCTGTTACATTTTTCCTATGGAAGCAGCAAAGGCAGCACATAATCTTTAAACAAACTTGTGTCACTTTTCTGACACAAAAGAACACAATTTTTATGATGTCCTATACAACTACATGTTGAGAGCTGATGTTGGGCTCACAGAGAACTGCATCATGTCTCATCTAGAAGCAATATACCAGAGCTCTGTGCATGTGCAACCTGTACAGTCTACATTTTTGTTGTGAAAGACTTTAGAAAGATTACAGATCCAGCGTGTGTTTTAATGTATAGATGTGTATATAAAACACACACACACACATACACACAGATTCTTTGCTGCTATTCTACCAAAGAGATGTCTAACATGCTTTTTAAACAGGTCACTTACTTATGGCCTTTCTGTCAGCAGTAGGTGTCATCTCTCAGCTATAAAATGAGGGTATGGTTTACCTCACCTAACTTTACACTACACTCAATCAGTGGTTTTACACTCACATTTTTTTTAAAAGCCCAAACTTTTAAACCATTACATTTCCAGAGGCAAATTTATTGCATTCAAAAACAGACTGCTGAAACAGCTGGGATGAATGACCCTCAGGAGACACCATTTCTCTAGAACAGCTCTATGAGCTACTGTAACTAGCTCAAACTTCATTACTTGTTCTTAGAAGTCTGAAGATTGGCGAAAGAAAAATCTAGCCCCTGTTTGTATGTTTACCCATCCCAGGAACTGTATTGAAAAGAAAGTTCCACTTACTGCTGGGATCCATTCAGCCCATGCTAGTCTGCTCCACACAGGTACAACCTCATCTCCTTCTCATGCAGATGACAAATGCTAATCTATTTCAAACCTGAACATAATCTCAAAATCTTATAAATGCAAAGAAAATATCAGTAAAATTAGGCAGTGATTTTTATTTAGGTTCACTACATTTATTCTTTATGTTTCACTCAGAGCTATATATTCATAAACATGCTCATAGGAGCAATGCAAAGTCAAAGCAACCACTTAACTTGACTACAAGAGGCCTCTGGTGGCAGTTTTGAAGTACAGCTTCTCATAGCTCTAGGGCATGTGCATTTGGATGACATAATTTTCTATACAGAAAAAGCTACAGAAAGTGGACTAAGCAGCTGTATTTGCAGTGAAAATGTTGACACATTACTGCTCATCTCCAAAGCACTAACAATTTCAGCCCATCCTTCTTTTTGCCTACACCAGAGTCGTCAAATTAGTCTTAAAGTCGCACATATTTCCAATTGAGACTAAAATAATGATCTTTACTGATCACAAAGGACACCACACCCAGCTGTAAAACTGGGTCTGTTTTTCCATCAAAACCCAAAGTCCTGCTCTCCAGTACTACAGAGATTCCCATCAGCCAAGGACCATTCATCCCAGCACCAGCAGAAAAGCAGGAAGGTTGCAGCTTATCCCATGCACTGTCCTTTTGCACAGCATCCAACAGGACAAAAAGACAATGGACATAATTCACACTCATATGTAAGACAAGAGAAAACAAAAAGTTGCCCTGATGTTTATGGAGGTTGACACAAGTAACAGTCAGAGGCAAAGGGCAGCTTGTAACAGCTGATAATATGCTGATTGGTTGGACTAGAGTAAAAGCAATTCCATTATCATTTAAGAGCCCACAAAGAGAACATAAGCAGATCAATGGATAGTTGAGGACTTCCTCTGGCAGAGCCAATTTTTCTACTGCTGTTTTGGTCCTTTACACTGGCATCTCAGGAAGGGAATTACAAGTCCCATCACCCAAACTGACCCTGTAAGCCACTGTCAACTGCAACAGCTGCAGCAAGCAGTTCCTCTTGGGATAAGGCTACAGCAACCAGCCAGAACTGTAGTTTCCATCCTTCTGTTTATGTTGGCAATTACCTTAAAAGCTGTCCAGGATGCAAATTAAGTTAAAAAGTTTCAGTGTTGCATAATGCACCCAACTAATGCACAAATGCAAACCACTAATTATTTTCAGCTGAGCAAACCAGTCAAGACCTACAGAAAAATTGAACTGAACATTTCTCACATCAGATGGCCTGCCTGCAGCCAAACTAACACGAGAGCAATGCTAAAAGCATTTACTATTTGTTTTTTATTATAACAAATAGCTGAACTACCTAGCCAACATACAGTACACTTTTCTTGAAACAACTTTCTTAATTCTTAACACTACAGTCATTAACAGATTTAAAACAACAGATCCATCAGTTTCATCTTTTAGACGGATGGAACACCTCTCCTATGAGGAAAGGCTAAGAGAATTGGGATCATTCAGGCCTGGAGAAGAGAAGATTTCAGGGTGACCTCATTGTGGCCTTCTAGTACTTGAAGGGAGCCTACAAGCAAGACAGAGAGAGACTATTTACGAGGGCATGTAGTGACAGGACAAGGAGGAATGACTTCAAACTGAGAGTAGGGTTACATTAGGTATTAGGAAAAAAATTCTTTACTGTAACAGGTTGTCCAGAGAAGCTGTGGGTAGCCCACACCTGGAAGTGTTCAAGGCCAGATTGGGTGGGGCTCTGAGCAACCTAGTCCAGCAATTTTCAAGCAGCAGTCTGGTTAAATACTGCCCCCTGCTTCAATGCAAAGGACTTATATTCAGACATTATTTAGAGCCCTGAAACATAATTCTCCTTCAATACTAAAGCACATGTTTGGTTCATGTAATGTGCATTTACATTGCATATATGATACAGAGCAAAAAATACAGAACAATATCTAAAATACAAATTAAAAAACTTTAGGTCTTTGAAAAATCTTAGCGTTTTTGTGGTTTTAAATTAACAAGCATTATTTCCTTACCTTGCAAACAGTTTCTGTATCCCAGGGTAAGATTGTCCTCAGATCAATAACTTCACAAGACACACCAAGCTTTTCTTGAGCCATTGATGCCACCTCTTTGATTACATGCACCTGAAAAAGCAATGTATTATCACCACATAAACATGTAATTTCTGTTTACCTTGTTCTAAACTACACATACTGAACACAAGCAATGATTTAACATATCATCTGCATGCTGAGCAGAGACCTTTCTATTCAGTAATAACCATTTACTACTCAGTTCATTCTTCTTACTTACTGCTTACATTATTCCTAGTACTTTATCACCACTCCAAAAACTAGTTTCACTGAAGAATCACTAAGAACAAAACTTGCTTTCTAGATAATTATCTTTTAGTGAACAGTATGGCTATTTTATACTTGTAGTCAGTATGAATAAGTTTTAGAAGATTTTTATTAGGACTGTAACTAAGCTAAGACCCAAATGTATCAAAGTAATGTATTTTGATGAGCACTCACTGGCAACCCTGCAAGAAGCATTACATACATTCAAAAGTACTGCACTGTCTTTGATCTTAGCCAAAAAGTCAAGAAGTTCTCTTACTAGTCCTAGCAACTACACTTACTATAACTTCTTGAAAGTGCAGTCAATTACTAAGTGATCACCTCCAAAGCCTTATCTTATGTACAGTTAGGAGAGAAAGCAAGTAACACATAAAAAGTTATGTGTAAATGCCCAGTCCTGAACCCCACAATCAAAGCACATGGGTGCTAGAATGGCAATATAATCATTCACTGGTCTTCCAATACACAGCTTTATACCAACATTACAAATGTTGCATTATCTGATCATTATAATTAAGATTTTACTTAAACAAAAAAGTCTTCCCCTCTAGCAAGAGGCTATTACTGAACTGGAACAAAGATTATTCACTATCCACCACTCAAGGAATCTATTTAATAGCATATATAACTGTGTCACAGTAGATGTAAAACAATCCACATCTATTACCATACTTCTCATATGATATATTATGATAAGAACAGAAAATAAAGAAATACTACATACAGTCAAAACTCTATCTTGACATTATGTTATACAGCACTTTTAAGCAAAACATATTGCAAGCATTGGCTTCCCTAACACAAACATAAGCAAACAAATGCTCCAACACAGAAAATAACAACTGCTTTGACAACAACTCAGATTATCCTCCAAGAGTATCTCAGCAAGAAGTATTTGCTCATGAGATAAGTGTAAAAAAGAATTTCTTGATATGATGTTGTCAATAAAGTCTTGTGCTCTCCTTATTGTTAGAATGTTTCATAACACAGATTTGGACTGTGCCAGGTGACCTCCATTGAGTAACCTCTAGGCATAGGCAAGGGGTTGGAAGTCAAGGACCATTCCCAAGAAACAATTTGTATGAGATTATCTTGATCTCAAAGGCAGCAGAATTTAGCAACATGGACATTGGTCAGACAGCATCAGTTGCCTGAGGGTCAGAGAGCAGCACTAAATTCTACACAGAAAAAAAAATCTATGCTGAAACAAGATGATTATGGATTTAAACACACATCTACATCATGCAAATATGAATAGCTAAATGTCAAGGGACTATTTTAAAAGGTATATCAATAGAAGTAATCATAAAATGAAAATATAGCTTGCAGTGGTTTTGTTTAAAATTTCTAATACATCTGTGGCTGTAACGTTAGAGAATTTTCAACATGGCACACAGGATGGACGTTTTTGCCATTTCTCTGATGTAAAAGTGAAAATGTTTACCTAATTCACAGGGGATAAAGATTCATTATTGACCATAAAAGACTAAGCACTACTGTAGAGGAACTAAAAGCCTTTGCAGTCCTCCATTAGCACCACCCAGGAAAGACAGGATGAGGCAACATGACAGGAGCAGCAGCTGCCAAGCAACTACCTTATGTCCAAATCCATACAAGAAGTTACCAGTGAGTACATGCACCAATCTGCCTACTGACAGTAAATTCTGGATTGGTAGAACAATTAGTAATCAAATTCCAAGTTTATGTACACAGCCTGCAGGCACCCCCAGCACAAACTCATCTGCAGAACCCTGGCCCAGCCAGAGCAGACTGGATTTACTGTGTGTGTCTGAAGCATCTGTCCCCACGCTGTATTACACAGCCACACCCATGCTTGGGTCAGCTCCTAAATCTGGATTAGGGCTGCACATCTGTTCTATTAGTATTCACATCAAAAAGAATGTCTGTCTTAACTTCTTCCAAGCACCGAAGCACACAGCTTTTTTGAAGGATCTTATTCCAAGTCCTCTCTGCACTACTGCCTACCGGGTAAATTCAGAATACTATTAAATCTGCATAGCCAGTTTTCAAGCCATTACTTTATCAGTTATCTCCTGGATAAAAACAAGTACAAGTAAAGATATTGAAGAAGTCCATAATTTAATACCAGTGCAAAGTATCAGAAACTAGTAATAACCATAGGTATAAAGGAGATCAAGTAGCCTGAGGACAAGGAAGCTACCAAAGAAAAGCAGTGAAGATTAGAAATGTCAAACAAAAACAAACAAACCACAAAACCCTCAAACAACAAGAGCAAAAAGGCACAACCCCAAAGATCAATTCAATACTCTTGTGATGATAGTTGTAACACTCTCTCCTCTAAAAGCTTCTCAGATACAACAAGGCCAGGAAAACAGCAATTTCTGGTAATTCCAAACTAGACTCAAATTTCTTTTCTATAATGCTGGAAAATGAAGACGTATTCTCTTACCAGATTTTCCAACATTTGCACATTTTAATGTGCAAATGTGGGTGTGTGTCATGTTCCTGAACAGCTTTGAAATATAACTGTTAGGATCTAAACTATATCAATACCTATTTGTATTAAACATTCCGTGGATTTTTAACACTCTGCATACAGGGAACCCCAGACTACACTTCCTTAAATCACATAGTAAAAATATATACTTTTCTTTCAGCACACTATTTTGAACTTTCCTTTCTCACTGCCTTCATCAGAGTCACATCTCACTGCCCTATTCTTAAATCTATCACTTTCCAAATTGTAGATAAACCATTAACCTGCTGCACAGGTACCTCTTGCACATTTCCAGAGTCAGCCTCCATCAAAAATGGGTAAAACTTACACAATAAAAAGCAAGGCCCACATGAAAGCAAGCACTAACAATCATTTATACAAGTGCATAGTGATAGAAGATGCATGTAGTTATTTGTCTGGCACTTGAGTTTGAATGCAACGCTATTCAAATATTACCTGACCCTCAGCCTAGGCTGTGCTGGGTGACAAAGAGCTTGGAAGAACATTACTGACCTGAGTGCCCCAAGCAACCATTGTCACATCGTTGCCCGTCTGCAGCACCTCAGCTTGAGACAGTGGAATGGTGTAAGGCTCTACTGGAACTTGTTCCACTGAATAAATAGAATACAGGGAAAAATAAGCATTAGGTTTCTTTACTAATCAATAGCATCCCATAAAAAACATACATGAAGAATTTTCTTCAGTGTTAATACTACATAAAAAATAGATCAAAATAACATTGAGTATTAGCATTCATTGCAAAGGTTTAGCTGTAACTCAAATTATTTTAAAACACATTCAGGGTAGAATTTATGATACACACCACAGCACTAAGATGAATACATACACATACAAATGATACTATTAAGTCATGCTGTACACCAAGTCAAAATATCAGCATCAGAGTTGAAGATGGACACTGCTACAATCAATTAAAAAATCTCAAGTAACCACTGCAGTTAATTCTAACAATCATCAAGAGAGTCTTGAAATTATACTTTAATACTCAGGCAAGAAGAAACAGCTGTCCCAGCACCTTCCTGATATCTGCCAAGAATGATGCTCCACAGTTTTACGACTAAATTGAGACAAAAAAATTTCAGAACCTACACAGAAATTGTCAGCAAGAACATCTGGTTATGGCAGTTTTAAATTAGTCTAAATGTTTTTGCTTTAAAAAAAAAGTTACTTATTCATAAAAATACATCACAATTAGAGAGAAGAGGCAAAAATTAGGCATCTTGTCTTCTCTAAAATGTTTAAGGTGGTTGCACTCAACTTAAGACCCATTTACTAGTTTTTAGATGGAAAAATATTCAGTCAGTTGTGCTAGTTTTGAATCAATGCTCCAATGCACTATATGCTGACTGGTTTAATGACTAAAACTGTGATAAAAGGCATTCGTATACCATATTTTAAAAGTACTATTGATTTGATCTAATGGCGAACTTGTCTATGCACCAGCAAGTCAAACAATACTTCTTAAAATAAATTCTAGGGATAAGTGGAAAAAATAAATCTTACTCTTCCTAAATACACAAAATCCATTTATAAAGAAAGCATTCTATTTTTTTTTT